TCAAGGCACGTCTCTTAAAATTTAATACGAGGTTATAGTTTGAGGTTAATTTGAGGTTTAGGTTCATTAAAACTGATAGCGCGATTGCATTTTGTGCGTCGGTAGAACCATTAATTAACCAAAACCATAACCTCAAATGTTGTAAGGTTAAACCTTGCGAAAATAGCGCGATTGGCCCCCAGGAGACTTAAGAAAGGAAGTACAACAGAAAGTTTGGAAGAACATGTAAAGAACATATATGGACAGGATATAGCAGTCGGATATAAAGGTCGAAAAAATAAAGCGTAAGACCGAAAGAGATTATGCGTCTTTCATAATAGGAGTTCCAGAAAGTAAATATGACGTATTAAAGGATGTAATAAGTCAGCCGGAAAATTGGGCAGTCAACATTGACATTCCTCCCAACAAATGCTTATTTTTTTTCTTATAGTTTGGCACTATGGCGTCCAGCCTTTGGCCATATGCAATTTCCACTGAGTTGCAAATTTTTGATAATTCTTCCAAATAAATATTTTCTTGCTTCTTGAGATTTCAGGATAATTATTAATGTCGTAGCAGTTGTTGTTGTGGAAAAGTCCTTTGAGCCATGTCTTCGTTTAATTATGTTTCTGTAAATATGGCCGCCACAAAGAGGATAAGCAATTTGAGGCGGCGTGCTTGGATTGACTCGGGATTCCTTAGAATGGGCCGATACGGGAATTTTAGTTCGAGATTCGTATAATTTCGCATTTTAATGTTCGATTAAGGCACAATAGCACTATCCTATTCCACTTGAAACTAGATTTACACAAAATAATTGAAAGTCAAAATAAAAACGACACTTTTCCCTCCAAAATGCCCAGACCCCCAAATGCTTATTACAATTTTAGCCAATCTAAGACTACTAACAGATTGACTTATATTTGCAGTCAATGAGTGAAGTCGTAATCAACTTCATGCAGCCGAGGCCACGCCTGCATGAAGTTGATAACGACTTGTCGCATTAACTGCTTGAAGTCAATCTCGGCTGCAGTTAATGCGTGAAGTTGATTACGACTTAGTATTTATAGTCCTAATCTTTAACACTTGAGTAGCTACGCATAAAAATCGTAACCTTGTACGAAGCCCGTAGTGCGTAGAAAATAAATTGAAAAGCTTGTTGAGACGCCACAAAGTAATAAATAGGTAATGGAAAGTTATTTCAACAGTCCAAAATCAACAAGTGATGGGGAGATCACGTGCGACATTGAATTTACCCAAAGGGTTAAAGGTCAAGTACCTTTTTATTGCATGACAATTGGTTCTGTCCTCAACAAACATTGTTTTTCATACTTTCTATTTATTATAACGAAGTGAGATGGTTTTGTTATAAGCTTTTCTTTTGAACTTGTAATCTGAGTTTGAAACCATCTAAATACAACGCAATACAGAAGAACAATGAAAACAATTATTCTAGGGATTAACGCAACCCTTTGTGGCGTGCGTCGTAGCAAAGTCTTGTCTTGTCGTATTTTCCCGCCCCCGCCTTTATGTCACTCACGTGTCGTTATACGCAGAACATAATCCTTTGTCAGGCTTTGTACCCCGAAATACAAAATGACATTCCAAAAATTGGAGTGTATTGTAAAATCATCATAAGCACTCAACAAGCTAGACAAAGATAGCAAATGCAAGAAAATACACAAAAATATCATTCCTTTTCACTTATTTTTCTAATTTGCCAATTTACATTAAAAATAGACGCAAAACGCAAAAGTATACACTTGCAATTTTATCCAATAATTTTAGAAAAATAAAACCAAATACGACATAATATAATGGCGTTTACTACCAAAGATGTGGTCCTTAAAGAGGACAGACCGAGAAAGTTGCTATTGCAGAAACACTCCGACTATTTAGCGAGTTATGGGCTGAACAAGAATGACTATGAATATTGTATGACGGAATATCTCAGAATGTCCGGGATCTACTGGAGTTTAACAGCTATGGAACTCATGGGACAGTCCTCGAGGTTAGTATTATGCATATTATTCTATTAAAATTAAACAGTCAACTCTGCCAAAATACATGTGTACTTTCATCATTACTTTTGTTTTATAAGCGTGTAAAGAAAGCTCACTTGTAAATAATTTACAATGTTTTTTATAAAAATCAATAGCTACTGGGCAATCTAATCTCAATTTACTAACTTAGGTCAATCAATCAATTTATCCATTCGCATAGTTCATGACTTGATAGGGTGCAATGGTATATGAATGTAAAAAAACAAACAACATAAGCTATAACCACCAGAACGTACTGGTGAAATTACAGGCACATAAGACTTATCAAGGTTTCTGGGAATATTGGTAGACACACATCTTTCATGGAAACCTCAAACAGAGGCGACTTTTAATAAGATCAGTAGATTTTGGTAAACTTGAGTAAACAATGTGATAAAAAGACAGCACTAATGGCTTATCATGGCAACATGTCTTCTGCCTTGCGTTATGGGCTTGTATTGTGGGGGAATTGTGTTGACATTGATAAAGCCTTTGTACTACAGAAGAAATGTGTGAGAGCCATTTGCTAAGTTGGACCCTTCGAATCATGTAGACCTTTATTCAAGCAGCTCAGGTTACTCACCCTACTCTCCCTACCCTCCACGTACATTATGTGGTCTGTATGTTTGTCAAGAGAAATCTAAAAATGTTGGAACAAAAACAGTACTCATATTTATCCATGTTTCCAAATCACTGAACTGGCACTTCTAGTAAAACTACATGCTTCATGAGAACTAGTCATAAGATGTCCATAAAATTATTTAATTTAATACTTGACTATGTAAAACACACGCCTCAAAGGGAATTTAAAAATTATGTATATAAAATACTCTTAGATAATTGTTTTCAAGTTCTCATTTATCAATTTATTTAAGTTATTACAACCAGAATACATTAAATATTGTAAATTAAACTTTATATCATAATTGGCATAAATAATGACAATAATTAATAAAAAATAAAGATAGATAATAGAATAATATTGTAAGTGTTTATTAGAACGACTGCTATGATATAATATTGTAAAATTTTGCATGTCAGAAATGGCGCAACACGCTTGTACGTATTATGCACTTTTACCATCACCAATACCGTGTTTGCTTGCAAATAAACCATTTTCATTTCATTTCATCAACTTATATCTCAGGATGATGAACACAGCGGCAGTGACCCTCAAATCTTTGTGTTTTAAAGCTCTGGGTGGCACTGTAACTGTTATGGACAGGCATGTTGTTTACCATCATTCACACAACTTGTTCGCTCTGTCACTTGATATCGTAGAAAAAATTGTATTCAATAAAATTAATAAACTGCCCATTGTTTAACTGCCTCCGTGGCCGAACGGTTACCATGCTGGACTGCCACGCAGAGGCCCCAGGTTCGATTCCCGGGCTGGGAGAAATATTTGTATGGCCTACATTTATTTCTCTCGTGAGTTTGGGTGTAATTTGTGGTTGTCTATGTGTGTATGCATGGCACCTGCGACACAGGGTTTCCCTAGTGCGGGGCTATGTTGAGTGTGTGCGTTATTATTAATACATACATTACATTTTTTAATGGAATAGTTAGACATTAACGTTAACTGTATAATATTGGTGACCATTATTAATCCAAATGATTTTAAATTACAGAATGCCCAAAGAAGAAATAATAGAGTTCATAACATCATGTCAAGACAGTGAAAGTGGAGGTATATCGGCTAGCGTGGGGCATGATCCGCACATGCTATATACACTGAGTGCAGTACAGGTGTGTGTTAAAGGCTATCCTTCTCATTGTTGACAGCATCAGTGGCCCAATGATTTGCATTACGGACACTGGTAGGCACCTGGTAGTCCTACCGGAACCTTCTCTTCTTTGATTTGACACAATAGTATTTTGGAGGGTCACACATTCTTTTGCATGCTAGATTTTTTGTTGTTTTTTGCCAACATGCAATCAGTCTTATATGAGACCATAAGCAGTTAATTTTTGATATATTTTGGATGTCAGACATACCCTTCCAACAACGGGTTGCTCAGTTAGTTGAATCCCAAATGATCCATCCATGGTGGTACACACAACGTGGTAGCCAGTTTGTTAGTATAAGTGGCTATTCTTTCTTTATAGGACTTAGTTAACCTAGTAATTTCCTCAATAATTGTAGACATTTTATTAACATTTAATTATGTTTCAACTTAAACTTTCACAACAACGTCAATTGTACTGCTTGTGATTGTACACTTCTTATGTTCAATATTTAATGCTCTGGTGGTAAACAAGGGAAAATATTCCGTTTCGTTTATATAATTATTTTATGTAATAATATGTGCTTAAGTACGATTGATTTATTTGTACAGGTGTTAGCGATGTATGACAAACTAGACGCAATCAATGTTGATGGGGTAGTCCGATTTATATCTTCACTGCAACAAAAGGATGGCAGCTTCTTTGGTGAGGACCTACTTTAGACATCCGAATTATTTGAATATAAATTATAAAAAACATTGTTTTATATTCTCTTTCAAAGTTTTTTACAATTTAACTTGTACTTTAGCATTAGCAGGAACAAATTTTTACTATTACTTCTGAAAATAACCAATAGAAGCAATTTTTATATGTTCCAAAAAAACACAAAAGATTCTGATACTTCTAATTATTAATACAAAGATCGAATACTCAGAAAAAATTCTTTCGATCCGGCCGGATTCAAACCGACGTCTTCTAGCATACCGTGCCAGACGCTATACCAACTAAACCACGGAATGAACCAGCGGACCGCACAAATTTTTCTATGTGCTTGCGTCGTATCCTGCCCTCGTTGCAGCAGTTGTGCCTTTTTTCGTTCTGAGGGCAGCATCTTTGTGTTTGGCTTTTCAACCACTTTTTACCCGTAGCGCCATCTGAGAAATCTATGATATTTCGTCACCCAGTTAGTTCATTAAAATAAAAAAAATGTCGCCAGTCGATTTGACTGAGACGCTGGTCAAATCGGTGACGGCGACGTGGGAAAATGCTTTATTAGTTTATTTTAATGCAAGACTAATGCATTCCTATATTTTAGACCATTAAAGTCTTAAAAATGTATATAAAAGGATTTATCACTTTTCTTATAATCTATTTCACTGACTGACTCCGTAAACGCTGTTGGATAACGATATCGTGGGGTCTACTCTCGATTTCCGTCCGACATCCGTCCGAAACAATTACTGCCAAATAAGCAATACTTGACCAAATGAAAAGACGCGTGATGCGAATGAAGCTTCATACTGGATACTTGTCTTTTAATTTTAGAGAGTAGCCCCCCGTATCCGAATCCGAATCGAGCGTTTAACTCGGGAATGTTCTGAATAGCTCGAAAAGCGCCCTTCGATTCGAGAACAATATCCAATCGAACGATTCGGTTAAAATATCGAAGAGTTCTGAATTGGGGTCCAGAGCACGGTAACCGTTCGGCAAAATCACCTAAATATATTACATACTTTTTTATTCATCACTATTAATGCCACACTATCTGACAGGTGACAAGTGGGGTGAGGTGGACACTCGGTTCTCATTCTGCGCCGTGATGTGCCTTTCTTTGCTTCATCGACTGGATGCCATTGACATTGAGAACACAGTAAACTTTGTTAAAAGCTGTATGAATTTTGACGGAGGATTTGGATCTAAACCCGGCTCTGAAAGCCATGCAGGTATTGAACTTTGAAAACATAAAGTATCCCTGATATAATGTAGCCACATGTGTATATGTAATTCACCTAAAGTATGAACGTTTTCTTAGTATAGATATACAAGTCGTACGCCTTTGAAAAAGCTCATCCAGACTACCACCTTACCTATTTCTGCCTCCAAGCAGTAATATGAGCATTACTGCGTTCCGGTTTTAAAGGTTAAGGGAGCTGGTGAAATTACAAACACATGGGGCTTGTCAATTTGGACATTGACAGTGCCCTTCAGATCTTTGCGATTTAAAGCTCTGTATGACACTGCAACTGTTATGGAATATTGTGTCGTGTTGTATTGTTTCAGAATTGGAATAGACTAAAGAGCAGTGTTAAATGTTTAAACATTGGAAAATAAATAAAAGTGTAGCTCCCATGACTGACTAGACATTGGCAAAATTCTAAAAGAGAAGTCATCCTTCTTTTTAAAAATAGAATAGAATAGAACTGTTATGGACAGACGTGTAACTTAGCATCAGGCGCATGACTTGTTCGTCCCCGCACTTGATATTATAAAAAAATGCCAAAATATTAAAAACTCAATTTCGCAAAGTCATTATTATGCAATGTAATTTTAAACATCGTAACATTATGTTTAAAAAAAATGTCAATTTTCAGGTTTAATCTTCTGCTGCGTAGGCACACTAGCAATAACGAAACACCTCGGCGTGCTGGAGGCCGACCAGCTCGCATGGTGGCTCTGCGAACGGCAGTTGCCCAGCGGCGGGCTCAACGGCAGGCCAGAAAAACTACCAGACTTGTGCTATTCTTGGTGAGTATTAGTAGGTACTATCGAAAATTACAATATATTTAAAGGAAATAGTTTAGGCCATCTTATCTAAACAAATCTAGCAATTTATCTCCTTTATTCTAATTCGTTAGTATACAGGTATACTGGGTGTAATCGTTAATTGTGCCCAGGCGATTATTCCCTAAATATAAGAGGCATCAAAAGTCTAAACTGATATCGAAAGTACGTTACCAAATTAATAAAACGAAATCAATAACTTTTTAAAAGTAAAACTAGAAATATCCAAAATTTACCATTCAACTCTACCATAAATTTAAAATGACATTCGTAGAGAGGCTTTAGTTGACCTACATTAAGATAACGAAACTGCTATAAATAAAGTAAAAAACTATCTTTTTAACCGACTACAAAAAAGGAAAAGGTTCTCAATTTTATTGTACTTTTTTTTTTGTATATACTTATGTTACACGATACTCAACCTTTGGGTACCTCAGTAGTAGTCCCATTTAAATTTGAAGAAAATAATCCACGTCTAAGGGTGACAAACTAGGAGATGAATGACTTTTGAGGTCTGTTTTTTTAGTACTCTGTATTGAGATTAATAATAATAACTTATTGTTAGCGTTTAACGTTAAGATTTACGATATTTCAAATTTTATTTTTAAAAGATTATTTTCGTTACTCATTAGGTAATATAATTTCGATATCAGTTTAAAGATTCTTGAATATCTTTTATATTTACGGAATAATCGCCTAGGCACACTTAACGATTATACCCTGTATGAACAAAATGGAATATATTAGAAATAATAATGTTTTCCATGCAGGTGGGTAATGGCATCTCTATCGATGCTGAACAGAATACACTGGGTCGACAAGAAGAGTCTAGAGCAATTCATCCTAGCTTGTCAAGACGCGGAAACTGGTGGCTTTAGCGACCGACCTGGGGACATCCCAGACCCCTTTCACACACTATTTGGTTTGGCAGGACTTTCGTTACTTGGTAACACTAGCGTAAAGCCCGTGAACCCAACTTACTGTATGCCGCAAGAAACGATAGATAGGCTAAAATTAGAACCACAGATTTTACACATTTAGATTTTAAGCGTAGCTACAGGTTCCATTGTTGTAATGTAAGTTTTTTTTTGTAAGTATTTGTGATATTTTTAACTTGAAACAATAAAATATATAAGTTTTCACAAATTGATAACTTTCTATTTAAATCTCCTAACGTAATATTTTTAAAAATATATAGACGTGTCAAGTTAAATGTAAGCGTTTTTTTTATAATACCAAATAATCCAAGTGACCTTAGACTATTTTTCCATCCTATAAGGACGGTACGAACAAGTTAGGTCAAATTAATGAACTTTATTTTGATGACATATTTTTTTTATTATCAAGTGATGGGACAAGTCTATTTATAACCTTGCGGTGCCACTCGGAGCTTAAAGATCTTATGGAGTGCCCACTCTACTGCACCCGTCACCCTGAGACCATGTTGACAAGTCCCGTGAGTCTATTTGCCGTTAAGTAATGGCTCTGTGCCACCGCTACTACGCCGTAGCGATGCGCGATTGTAAACAATAATACTCTTATCTATGATTGTGAATGATTTCGTTATTCAACTCGTTAGTAATCGCTACTCCTGTCATTCGAATGTCAAATTAGTAACCTACTAATTTTCATATTCCAATGATTTGAATGATCATTCGTTACTAATTAGGTAGTACTAATCCATAGATTCCATAGAGCATTTCTGCTCGTGATCACCTAGCCCTCTCTGACATAATGGTAAATACTATAAATATGACTGGGACAGGGATATTTTGGTATGGATATGATGAATGAGGTGTTCCGATATAATGATCATTCCACTCGTGCACCCGACCGAATGGCATTGGCATTCGGTATTGAATCAATCGACTCGAGTCGAATGATTGTGCTTGGATTCGACTTTGGCGAATGATTTGCCCATTCGAATGATTAGTATTAGTAACATTCAAAGTCGCGCAACGCTATTACGCCGCCTTATTTACTTGTAGGCGTCGGCTCGCATAGAACCTAATAACACTATTTCAGGCAGAAAAAGTCGGGCGTTCGAGCATTTTGAGTTCTTTTTTTCTAATTACAACAGACATATTTATTCAATTACAGTTATTAGAAAATATTACATAGAAGACACCCAAATAAAATAAAAGAAAACTATTTTAAACAGGTGGACGCATTCTTTCCTCTGGCAAAACGGAATTATCTATAATGTCCTACCATCCGTCCTCATGCATATCACATTCAGGTTTCAGTCAAGTATGCATTGATTTGGGTGAATATTCGGCAGAGAGGGGATTATCATCTTCAACATGATACAATGTTATCATCATCAACGCAATACAGTCTAATAAATTGATGATGAAAGCAAAGGTATGAAACGTGAGGACTTTTTTAATTGGCAGCACCGAATGACAGTCAAATCAAATGTCATGTTAAGGCTGTTGGCTTAAGCCTTAATTTTTTATTTATTAAGGTTTTGGCAAAGCCATCAGCCTAAACATGAAGTTTAATTATGTTTCTGTAAATATGGCCGCCACAAAGAGGATAGGCAATTTGAGGCGGCGTGTTTGGATTGACTTGGGATTCCTTAAAACAGGCCGATACGGGTATTTTAGTTCGAGATTCGTATAATTTCGCATTTTAATCTTCGATTAAGGCACAATAGCACTATCCTGTTCCACTGTAAACTAGATTTCGCAAAATAATTAAAAGTCAAAACAAAAACGACACTTCTCCCTCCAAAAGGTCAAGTGCGAGTTCCCAAAGCCTAAGAAATTAAAAAAAAAATAAATCAAATGTCAAAATTGTCAAACTCGGTTAGATAAACATAACCTTAAAACAAACTTTGTTGCCTACTTCTTTTAACTTCTAAATATTAGAAAAACCGTTATAAAATTATCGCCTAAAGCTACAAAATGTCGCCGTTCTACTGGTGTCAATTTCTGCTGTACAGTATTTGTATTCATTTGTTTACGATGTATACATACGTTGTTTACTACAGTGACTTGCTCTCTCAAAGTTTTCGTCCTGAAATCCGTGAAAATTACGACTATATTATCGGTAATTTTAAGTTAATTACTGCTATAATCTATTTTCTTACTAGTAGCTTCAACTCCATCTTTTTCAAGTCTAAAATACTTAAAGCCAAACAACCTTAAAATCGATCATTTCATGATGTTAATAGCTCTTTATATTTTGTAGTGGTTTATGTTTGTTTTTTTATAAAATCTACGTAGCACTCACAATCCTATTTCCAGTAAATTGAGAGTTTATAGAGCGGAATAGTGTACATAATGTGGGTTTTTTTTAGTAATATCTGGTTATATTTCTTTTTCCCAGTGGGTTCTGGAACAGCAGGCTCGGTAATCGCCCACAGACTAGCAAAAGAAACTAACCACACTTTTATAGTGCTGGAGGCAGGGTGCACACCAAATGCTCTAATGGACATGCCTATAGTCGGACCGGTGATACACCGCTCCCTTTTTGATTGGCAATTTGAGACTGTGCCCCAGGAATATGCTTGCTGGGCTTTGCATGATCATGTGAGATAATTTTTTCATTAGCCCATACAACTAGAAAAACAAATATTTTCAGAAAATTAGTTTGCTATTCAATGCCTGTGAATCTCTTTAGATCTCTTCAAATTCAATCTATTATAGATTAACTAGTAACTAGCAAGAAATTTTTTGTATTTTGAATAAATTAGGAAAATTTTTATTATATTAAACAATATATATTAATTACAAATATAATATCAAAATTTTAAGTAATTGAACATTAATATACTGTATATTTTTGTCTCTGCCTTTTAACCTATTATGAACAATATGAATAGTTCACATGATTTCACAATATAGTTTATATGACAATTAATCACTTCTTGCAATAAGCCGACGATATTGTACTTTTTGAATAAATAAATATTAGAAATAAATGAAAAATTAAAATATCTAAATGAAAATTTCATATTGTGGAGAATACAGAAAAAACATACTGTACTTTCACAATTGTATTGAAATAGCATGTATATTGTTAGGTAATTTCTAACTCATTACAATTGAACCCTTGCTTACGATTGGGATTTAAAACATCAACTTGTTTGCAATAACTTCATTTCCACCTAATTGCACAATATATAATTTTATTTTCAGAAATGCAGACTGCCACAAGGAAAGGTTCTTGGAGGGTCATCAAAATTAAACAATATGGTCTACTTCAGGGGAAATTTATCGCATTATGTTGATTGGTTTCATGGAAAGCATACTGAAGAATATATCAGACAACAATTTCAGTTCCTTGAAAGTCAAATTATACATTTAGACAATATAAAGTATGAAAGCCATTTATCTAATGCAATTATTAATGCAGCTAAAGAGTTAGGATATAAAGAAATAAGTACAGAGTCAGAACTAGGTTTCATGAAAAGTAAAGTGTCACAAAAGAATGGAAAAAGATGGTCCACATCTGACAATTTAAAACCAATAGATATTGTAACTAATATTTTAGTTGAACGATTAATTTTGAAAGGGAATAAAGCCATTGGTGTTGAATTTATTAAATCTAATGTAAGAAGAAAATTGTTTGCTAGAAAAGGTGTAATTTTATCAGCAGGAACTTACAACTCTGCTAAAATTTTGCAATTGTCTGGTATAGGTCCAAAGAAATTATTGAAGTCTCTAAACATTCCTGTTATTAAAGATCTACCTGTAGGAAAAAACCTTCAGGATCATGTTACTACTGGCTTGGATTTGTTAATGTTTAACAAATCTCTAGCATTACATGGAAGTGATATAGTAAATCCAATAAATTCATATAATTACTTTTTATACGGCGAAGGACCGCTGACTACGCCCGGTTGTGAAGTTATTGGTTTTGTGTCGACAAAGAATGAACAAACGCCAGACTTACAATTCATGGTTTTGCCTGTAGGTATATCATCTGACAGGGGAAGTAAATTAAGGAAAAGTTTAGGTATTAAAGACGATATATGGTTGGAATATTTTGCGAAAACATTTGATAAATACACAGCGTCTATACTACCTATTGTTTTACATCCTAAAAGCAAGGGCACTGTTTTTATAAAAAGCAAAGATGCCAAAGAACCCCCTCTAATAGATCCTAAATATTTATCGAATGAAGATGATAGACAAGTTCTAATAAATGGTCTGAAATTAGTAAAAACATTTACTGAAACAAATGCTATGAAAAATATTGAAGGGTACATCAATCCTATACCAATGCCAAGCTGTAAAGATTACGCTATGTTTTCAGATAGTTATTGGAGATGTTATATAAAACATTTTGCTTCAACGAGTTATCATCCCGTAGGGACATGTTCTATGGGACTACCGGAATCTGAAAACGCTGTCGTAGATACTTCATTTAAAGTTTTAGGAACAAAGAATTTATATGTAGTTGATGCATCAGTGCTACCTACATTACCTAGTGGAAATATTAATGCAGCTGTTGCTATGTTGGCCAGCGTATTTTTTGATACTAATTTTGAAAAAAATGAAGCAAGACCGAACAAAGATAAAATTTGCTTTAAAAATGACTTTATTTATGAATATTTGCTTAATGTTTGTTTTGTTGAAGGTCATAAGACTTAAGATATTACTTTATTTACTGATAATAATATATGTAATAATTACAATTGTGATATTAGTTGTTAAGAAATAATAGAAACTTAGTAAAAGACGGATTATATTTCTAACACTTTATTGCAAGTATTAAGGACACTTCTAGACATATAAGACATTTGAGCCCCATTTTACAAACAACCATCGAAATCGTTACAGCTACAAATAATACTGACGTTATTTATCACTAAAATGGAACTATTTGCGAAACATAATTAACTAGAAATCACATAATTGTGGTGTGTAAACCACATATCATGTAATTTTAAATAAAATCATTGTATTGTATTGTAATCATGGCTGTAGCAGTTTAGATTTTTTAATATAAAGCATAAAATAAAATTTAAAAATATACAATCACGATAAAATTACGTTGTGCTAACATTCTTTTGTCTTACTTTTTAATTAATATAAAATTAGTATAAGTCGACCACAAGTCAAATGTATAGAAAAATGCTCAAAATAAATTATATTTACCTATTTATTACTTTTGTTTCACAAACTCTTTTCTAAATACTAATCTAACAAACTTTGAAATGACTAGACTTTATAAGTTCTTTAGATTTTTTAAAACTAGATTCACACAAAGATAATTATGAAGGCTCTCATTAAACCAATCTTTCGCTAGTCTCTCCAAGTAACATGTTAACTACAATAAATGAAATGTTCTTCTGTGCATAATTGTGTACTACAAAAAGAAATTACCAAATAGGGATCCCAGAGGAACTCCCCCATTGACAATTGGCTTGAATAGCTTTTAAGTAGCTATTGTTGTTATTCTTAGTAAAAACATGCAGGGTATATACGCATGCTATTCTGGCTAAGTTAATTATATGAAATTTATCAAAAAATAGTTCAACAGTGCTCCAAATTCTCACCTCAACTTTATCAAAAGCCCCTGTCAGATTTTTCAATAAATTACAATTTATGTGAATCTACTCTTAATGTTAAGACACTCATGGACGGAAGAGTTCACTACATATTTTTGTCTATAAACACTAAGCCAATTTCTTACATTATATCGAAAATTGTGCAAGTATCAAAATATTAAATAAGGGTGTTGATGTTAAATTTCGTTACTATATCCCTAACAACTTTATTATACCGTTTAAACCGTATAGTCCTTCGATGAGAGTATAAGTTTCTTAATTTTTTTGTTAAGTGACTCATTATTGCACAAAAAATTCAACATCAACATTACAATTTAGACATTTATAACGTACAGACAAACACTTTGTAAATACAATAATTTTGTGCTGAGCAAAATTTTATTTACCACGCAGTTTCTGCAGTAATACTGGACGGAATTGCTGATAATGCTTTAGAACCACTTAAAGTATTGCCACACATCGCTTAAGTAAATTATTTATAACTTTTATAATATTGTACATCAATAATACTGAGCGGTAAATCCGTCATTCTTATAGCTACATTATAAATAACTAGCTCTAGATAAAGCTAAAGGAATAATTAGAAATCTTGTAATACTGTATAATTTCTTGTATTTTTGTAAATAATATGAGCGTTTTTGAGCAAAATAATGTATTTTTTGCAACCAATAATCCAATATATCAATATCCTTAGAATTTCACTCATCTATGATTATTTCTTATTGAAATTCATAGTTTTCTTGTTAAGAAAGTAAATTGTGCACATAGGTTATCTATTATCCTCTACATTTACAAACTTAGGAATATTATTACCATTTTGTCTAAAACGTTTACCTAATGCGGTAGAAAATGCAAAATTCTTTCGCATAAGCCCTTTTCACTAGACCATCAGTACACATACTCGTAATACAAATACATTAGGTACATAATCTATCAAGAAACAATCTAGTTTAATATCCTTTTCCGTTCTTGTTTACAACCCTGCTAAACCCCACGACTTTCATGAAAATTGACATCCGAAATCCTACAAACAAAGAAACATGTTTATAATACAATGCAATAATTCTTACTTGAAACAGGAATCCAAATAATTGTCCAACATATCCAATTGAAGATCATCCCAATCCGTCGGATTCAGCAACAAGGAAGATAAATCATCTTCGATCATCAAAGAGGGAGGAGCTACTGGTTCCACAATCACATTGGCCCCAATGTTTGTATCCAAAGCCATGTCGATTCCGTTTAAATTGAACTCGGGTAAATGCAGTGTTACTGCTTGACCAACATCTGCCGGGACTTCTTGTACTACAACATTCTGCGGTATATTTGCCACGGCAACTCTTTCTTCACTCATTTTAGCGTCCATTTTAGATTCATTGTTCTTCTTCTTTTTGTGAGGTCGGTTTGAAATTCGTTTAGTACCTTCCAAGTGTGCGAGATCCAGTTTCCAGAAGCCCCCTTTGCCTGGTTCATTTTTTGACCTGGCCACTTTCACAAATACTTTGTTCAGGGATAGATTGTGCCGTATCGAATTCTGAAACGAAAAACAAAATTGATTAATTTCATTCAGAAATCACTAATTTCAAAAAGGCGTAAGTACTTGCTCGTTTTATCGAAAGTAATTAAATAGTGTAAAAGAAGTAATAACTAACTTTCAACTGTGACTATCGATCTCTAATCCGAATACGCAATAAAGTGTCCCTACGCACTTCAACGATCCACTCACCCGATTCAATTAGTCCCTAATCTTATCATTGTAAACAGATTTTCCGTTTATTAAATCAAACAGATTTCCCTATTACCGGGTGCTAATAAAGATAACGTACCTGCCAAGTGGGATCCACGTTCCTGTAATATTTAAAATTGTCCCTTATCCACGAGTAAATTGCAGAAAGAGTCATTTTGTCATTGTTGTATCTCATCGCCATGCAAATCAACGTACTGTACGAATATGGGGGTTTTTTCTCACTGTTAGTCTGGTACTCCTCTTTATTTTCCATAAAATCCTTCTGGCACTTTGCTATGGTTTGATTGAATTTTTGAAGTCGCGTATTTGCCGGCGGTGATTTAGCCGGAGGATTCGGCGACATCGGCAACACCGGAAACTGCGGCACCGACATTATATTCGTTATGTTTTGCAGCCATGTCAAATTTGTCAAGTCAGTTTCTTGGTCTTCTTCAATCTTTATTTTCTCGGGCTTATGTTTCACACGTATTCTTCTTGAAGGATCACCTTCATTTTGAAAATTTAGAGCATTTATCTCTGTTTGAGAACTATTCGACTCTTCTGCTTGAGTGTAATTTTCCGGTTGCTCGTATACGTATTCGATCTCAACCGTATGAGAAGACTCTGGTACAGCATGGTCCAGAGCGAAATACGTCGCACCACACTGTTCAGATTCCCCATAGAAATTAATAGTGGTGTCCAGCATTTCGCCGGACGCCGGTGATAGCCCCGAAGTTATATGCATCTTGAACCACTACATCGCCTGTAATAATGACAAAGAACTTGATGAGTCATCTGATGATTCAACTACCATTTCGCCACAGTTAAAATGTCACCACATTTTACACCATAAATGTTTCTAAATGTCGCTAAAATAACCGAATACGGTTGCAGTGGAACAGTATAAATTGTTATAGTTACCTGAGAGACGCGAAGATGTGGTCCAACAGCGTGGTCAAGATGCCGGACGGCGATCGATCGGCGACGGCGCGAGGCCAGCGTGACGTCGGATCGGTCAGTACCGCCCCGCGCGCCGCATGGATCGAAGTGGTGGTGGCGGTAGTGGCGGACAGCAAGTGGTGCGTAGGTGCGCGCGTGGCGGCAGCGCGCTCGTTTGTGTGGTAGCACGCGGCAGGTGCGCCAACCCCATTGTTCCGAACAGGTGTGTGCCTGTGTGCCCCGCCCGATCGATATTTTTCCGCAAGAAAGCCTCGGGGCGTGCAGCCCGCATGGAACTCACGATAGCTTCGGACAATTAGCTACGGTTATCAAATTCGCGCCTTTATCTGCATACCATCATGTCTACAGTAGGTAGACGACTTTGCCGCGACTCTGCGGGTACTTCCTCAAACACATTTGCGTAATGAAGGCGACGACACTTGTAAGGATTTTCCTGAACCATTCAATTATTAAAATAACGAATTCATGACTAATTTCAAGTTAATATGGTGAATTGATGACCATTGACTGTGTATACATTCATTATTACAAGTCTAGTTGATCGATTTTTGAAATCGTTTGTTTTGATTTGAGTGTTGTTTTCTTTTCCCATTTATGTTTTAAAAGCCCTTATGATGATGCCCAATGAATTTACCGCCGCCAACTAGTGTTATTATAGACTCCCCTGTTTGCTGTAGGTCAATGGCGCTCGTTGGAAAAAGCTGTCGTCTAGACGACAGGCCACTTCACTGAAGTCGATCACAGAATCTTTTTTTTTTTCCTTTCTTTTTTTTTTCTCTTTCGTTTTTGTTTGTTTGTTGTCAAGTTTTGCAACGCCTGTTAATTGTTCTGTACTCAGCTCTCTGGTTAACTGGTAGAGAATGCCTAATGGCATTAAGTTCGCCATTTGTACTTTTTTGTATGCAATAAAGTTTTAAATAACTTGACTTGCTAAAGTAATATTCTCTAAAGCTCAACTTAGTTTGTTTGTTGAAAGTGGCTGCGTGCGTTTAGATTAACTGCTTTTAAGTAGGTAAGACAAATGATATCTACCCCACACAGCTGACCTCACTGATAACAAAGGAGCCAAATCCTGTTGAGTTAAATTAATGGTGAAAGGTTGTTGACTTCGCGACGGGGTGCGTGCCCGCATAGGTAACTGACTTAGGGTCAATAATATACAGATTAGGGAATCAAACTGGGCCGAAAGGCCGTGTTGCGTTGAAATTCTTGGCAGTTTATACTTAGGCGATGGAATATTATATGAGGAGTAGCTTAACATATGACAAATGATGCCACCTAAAAGCTCGGCTAACTAGTCAAAATTATTATTTTTTTACTTAAAATTAGAAAATAAATTCCACTGTTTGAGAAAACCATACCTAAATAACACAAAAGTGACGAAGGCAGGCGAACATAAAAACACAATCGAACCAAGCCTGCCCAAACGAAGTACGAAAATATGGACCAACAGCGGGAGCAGCAAATTTAACGACGGCTTCGTATATCAAAGCTACGTACACGTTTAAGAGTTGTACAATTTGGAACAGGACCAAGAGCACATCAAGCTTGACAATTAAGATTTAAATTCAACTATACGCAGCTTATGATAAGAACGTCTAAAAGTTTCAAATTTGATATTTTGGGTTTGTAGCATCTGAACCCGGGGTCGGATCTTGTTTCTCTTAACTGTTCTTATGGCATTAGAAGTATTTGTCGTAGGTACTTCATCTGTTTATTCGTTCAGTGAATTTGTTTCAAATGCCAATGAGACATCGCGATCGACGTATCCCTTTTATTCCCTTCGGGAGGTTGGCGACTGGCACCAGTGCACCCTGTGCAAACCCAAAGCATACGTTGGCCGTTCTGCCTCGCTGCCCTCTTTGTTTATCGCAGGGGTGAAAAACGAGGCAGTTTCATAGGGGTAGTGAGTATCTTTTCTGGTATGTCACGGCATAGATATTTGCCGTTTAATTGTGAAATTGGAGTCAGATAATAAGAAGCTCAGAACTTTTCCATAGATATATATGTACCTATATAGGTACGAGTATGTTCGCCTAAATAGGTAGGTACATTAAGTCACTGAAAATGTAAGAGCGCTCCCTAATTCACTTCATACTCTGCAGTTTCCAACTAGTAACAGGAATGCGGGATATGCGTAATAGGGAGTCTCAAATTTACTCCTGATTATGAAAAACACCATACAACGTTCGGAACGTTTTCTTATAACTGACCTAATCAACATTTTAAAACGAAGTTAAGAAATTTAATCAGCGAGCAGATTTTTAAACCCCATTCGCGGTTTTTTTAGTTCCAGTTTTAATTATTGTTAGGCAAAGATTTCAATGAAAAAAAAAACTTCTAAAATGCAAATACGATTAAAAGAAGGAGGGCAGAGTAGGTAGTATGTTTTTTTTTATCTTGTTACGTTACGTACGTAACTTTATTTACTTACTCAACAAGTTGTTTTTCATACGCTTTTGATGTTGTGGTAAACAAAATGAACAATATTTTTTTCTTTTGTTGCCCTTGGAACTACCAGCGGAACTACTAGTAGTTCCACGGGCAATAATAATCTCCCGTGATACTACTAGACCTGTCAGTAGTTACACAGGAGATTATTATTGCCCGTGGAACTACTAGTAGTTCTGCTGGTAGTTCCCACTATCTATGTGCGTGGTAGTTCCACGGGCAATAATAATCTCCCATGTAACTACCGACAGGCCTAGTAGTATAACCGGTAGGTAATTTGTTATTGTAATTAATTCACTTGGTATCATAAAATTAAATAAATTAATAGGTAGCTCTTTTTAACCGCCAAAGAAAAAAGGGAAGTTATAATTGCGTCGACAGTTAAAAGAAAACAATACATTTGGTTTACTATAACATAGCGAAGAGAGGTGAGAGGTGTCTGTCTGTATCTGTGGAGCCGTAGCTCCCAAATAGATAAACTGATGTCAAAGTGTTTTTATTATTTGGAAGCTAGTTTAATCTGGATGGTTCTTGGTGCCAATAACCTTGAAATTTACCAAAATACCAGTGCGCTAGTTAACAATAAGCGAAAGCAATAAAGGTAGTAATTTAGGATTGAATCATCGAGTATATAACCAGAAATAGAGACGAAATAAGGGCCATCCATCCCTGGCGACTCGTCAGGTAAATGGGCCTTATATCACTGTTAAATATCAACTCTCGTTTGCACTGAAATCACAAATTAGAAAGCTTAAACAGTACAGCGTCAACAACTGACCGTATGTACGTCTCCGTATATTCTAAAAATAGTTCTAATAGTTCTGTATTTGTTGTAATAAAGATAATATCTCTAACAATGCGGGGCTGTTACATTCGGTGGTTTGGGAAAAACAGCGAAACATCTAATTACAAAACAAACGGAATCACATTTCATCGGCAATTACATGTTCAATTTGTAATTTTTCAATTTTCGTCCATTACAGCAAAACTAAAGTTAAAAATGTTAAATTGGTTGATTTGTGAAACAATTGACGACACCCGTCGTTGTTTTGATGCAGTTGTCACCGTAATGATTTGGCAGATGGTTTTCAAAGAAATGAAATTACTTTTCGTCTCATTTCTGGTTATATACTCGATGGATTGAATACACTATCGTAAAGGTTCAATAAACTCGATGAAAATAGGTAAACTTCCCAAAACGCATTAGGCGAGCGTGAACAATAACCCCGAAACCTCTTGCTATTGAAGACGCCTGGTACATACGTATAGCGTCTCATTTCTTGTTCTCAATTCGACTGTATTTTTTTGATGATTCTTTTTTTGTTGGAAAGAGGGTATCTCAGTATTAGTCCCATTTAAATATGAAGTCAATATTCCACCTCTAAGGTAACCTAAGGCAAGAATCCGATTTCGCGCACTTTACAAGAACCGATTTTAATAAAACTTGGCAAATACATGTAAGTCCATAAACTTTTGAGGGCGGTTTATTTTTTTATAAAAAAGTTACAATTATTATATTTTAACAAGTGACGCGGTGAACAAGTCGTGCGCCTAATGGTAAACGACAACATAACAATTGAAGTGCCACTCAAAATTGTAGTCGTAAAGATCTTTGGGGCACTGCCGCAGCATCTGTAATTTCACCAGCACCCTTATCCTTGCAAACCGGAACGCAGTAATGCTAATGTGAATGCTTGGCGGCTGAAATAGGTAAAGTGGCAGTACTTCCCTGAGACGAACTCTTTCATAAGAAGCTCTACTGCTGCTACAAGAAACAAGGATTGAAACAAGTCTCTGAAGGAATGGCGGGAAAAAGTATTTTGCTAGATCAAATGGCTTAGGTATTTACTATTAAAATAACGATCTTACAAAAAATATACGATACACCTAAGGATATTCTCCAAAGAATGTGCTAATGTATTACACTATATTATGTACTTGATCCGATCTTATAAAATCCTGAATTATTTAAGAATAAAGTTTCTAACTTTGTGCGTAATTTTTATCCTACAAAGAACCTGCTAAATTTTGGTTTGCAACTGAAGCCCTTTTAGTTGTTAAATCCTCATATCGTCGAGGATAGTGCAAATGTATGTAGTAGGTATTGGTAAAAAGCGCGTATCTGCAACAAATCAAATTTCACAGGAGATTTAACGAAAACACTTTGCTATTTCAATGGTTACAACTTTAATTTTTGCACAGTAAGCATTAATTTATGTTGATTACGGACTGACAACAATAGATTCCCGTAAATCATGCTGATTTGGTTGCCATGACATATACGCGATGTGATTTGGCGACTAAATTACCTAAATGGAGACTCATAATCAAATGCTAGTTACGTGTAATTACACTCTCCCCGACGATATATTCCAAAATTTGCAAATTGCCCAGCGGTTTAACGACACGCCGTGCCGTCCGCTGTCCCGTCAGTCGCCATCCGATGCTTGTCAACGTCGGATCAGTGTCTAATTTTCTCCACCTGTTCTTATTTTATTCATATTAATTTGCAGCGCGCGAATTGCGGCACGCGAGGGGCAACTCCCTTCACCTTACCTCCTAAAATCTAGACTCGCGTTGAAATATGTACCTCGCTTAATGTAACAAGCTTGACGCGTCCCATTTGTCAGCACGCATACATAAGTATACTGCGTCCTTAATAAATGCGTTCTAGTTACAGTTAGCGGCGGATTTGCCTTAACGCCCAGTAGGCCCGGGCCTAGGGCGGCCAATCGTGACAAAAAATTCACTGATAATAACAAAAAATAACACAAAGTATGTTCTAAA